AAACTAGTTTATTCTTTCTCGATACAACTTTGTAATACACTTAATTTCCATAGTCACATTAACTTAAACATACGCTATAATTCACAACGAACGATTCACGCACTTTACTTAGTACCGCCTTTACTGAATTCATCTCTATCTATGCCGTCACTTCTCGCCGGTCTTATATATACAAAATAGAGGGCGTATCTAGCAAACGCTAGGACGTTCGACAGGTTCCTCGATCTTTCTAGAACTTCAGCGCATGCTCCCAGCGTCGCGCGACTACCGCTGTCGTAACAATATGATCTTAAAGATAGTACAACATGACTATGAAGCAAGTTGAAAATGCATATTTAATGTACGAAAGCTGAACGAAACGCCAAGTTAAAAAATAATAACAGAACTTAAAAAGGTTTATGATGAAACTCGGAATTAGTTGTTGAAACAAAACAGAATTAAACTGAGAATGTTACAAAATAACCTAGATAAACTACACAATCGAATATGACACCATATTAAAATAAAAACTTAGTCTAAGCTGAAGGATTGGCTCAAGCCATATAACAACCCCTTGTGCACGCTTTTTGTCCTTGTTGATTAATTCCAAATTTTTTCGAACGTTTTGTGTTACGGGCACTCGTTGACCATCAGTGTACCTGAATATCACACGTGACGTGTACGATTACTAAAGCTGGGGAAACCGTATTGGATTTATTAGGCCCGATTAAGAGTGAACCGGAAATTAGTAGGTCTTAGTTTACTGGCAGTAAATGAGTATAGCTTTCTAGCTAATAATAAGCACAATTATCTTCAGGGAGATCTGATAACCCGCGTGACTGAGACAACTTTTTTTATTCAGAAGTACACGTTTTGGCTCATTACAGGTGTTATATTTCACCTTTTACTTAATGAATGGATATTTAATATCTTGGGTCATCATCGCAATGTTCTAGAATTAGTTTATTTTTCTTTTAAAATTCACACCGTTGATCTCAAAGTCGTTTTTTCTTGATGATCTTTTTCCCAGTTCGCTCATAAAACTTTATGTAAATTTGAGTAATAATAGTCGTTCTTCGTCAATGTGGAATATTTAAATGACGGTTATACGGAGATAATTGTTTTAACACTTGGCTTTAGGCTCGTGCAGTTCGTGTTTATGACCGGCACATACGATCTTTTCAGCCTCACGAGGCTTAAACTATTACCTGTGCAATAAGGGGAAAACTGTTGCACACGCTGCTCTGTGGAACATCAAGAGCCTGGTTGTTAAAAGTAGCCTTGATTATGTTTCCGTGGTAAC